CTCTGAGTGTTTTTAACTCCCGAGGGGAGATTTTATTTTGGAAAGAGGAACCGGATACGGCTTGAATTTTTTCTGGCTTGGACTGAAACAGACACAAGTTACCTGGAAAAACACCTGTTCGCCAATGACCAGTAAGCGAGCCGACATCAGTACCCTGACTGATCGGAGGCGAGCCAGCTCCTACCCTGAGGGTGCCTTAAGAAGCCATCACCAGGTAAAGCTGATGTGATGTGTTCGGAGTGACGTGTCATGTGGAACCTGAGCCGAGAAAAGACGTGCAGTTCCGGTTGACCCACACATTGATAAAAGTAAAAGAAGTAGTAATATACTAATCTTACTTTCCTCCTTTCCTTGTTCTTAATTAGCCAAAACTTAAGCTAAAGTGCCAGTAAAATTGTTTGGTTGTTAACATCAGAACTGACGTTTTACTGTTCTATATAAGTAATCTGAGTTGATGTGAATTGAAATTCGGATGCAGGTTTTATCTCATTTAACTTTGACGCTTGTTATAGGAATAACCACAATCAAGTGTAACTTATGATCTGTTCAATTTGTGTAAATAAATGATTGCGTAGTCTTTATGAATCAACTTGAACTCATCTGAACGTTCATTTATTGTGTCACTTTCACTTCGCACAGTCAAGATATGAACAAGTAATAAGAAATACCTTGGTAAAAGTTTTCCTCATAACCTTGTATATGAGAGATGTGGGAGAAGCTTAATTCACCCTAAGCTTACTCTTACACATGCTTGACATTCCCAAATAATAAGGTGGGCATGCGGTTAGAAAAATAATGCAGTGACTTTTTGGAGCAGTATTGCCAGGCAGAACTGTTACTTGTTTATATTTGCATCAGCTGTGTTAAAAAACCAAGTGCAAAAATGGTTAGGTGATTGGTTTCAGTTGTACAGAATTCAACATTTCATGTGATCTGCTACACCCAAATGTGTCTTCCATTTACCTGCAGATCTAGGGCCGTTTGTTGAAGCATTACATGGCCTGTAATCCCTCTCCAATGCAAGATGTCTCCATCCCCGGCAGCCCACTGTCTGTAAGTCACAGGGACAATATGACATGCGGTCAGTCTGCCAAACCAATTTGGAATTTTCAGAGCTCAGCCCAACTTTCATTCAACCTGGGAGAAATGAATGGGACTGAGAATGTCTACCTTTGAAAAGCTTCACGCTTTGACCAAATCATATGCTGTCACTGCGATGCTTTAGAAGGCCTGCACTTCTCATCAAAGCCCTTGATGGCTCCCTTTCACAGTACTGCTGAATACACCCTCCCTCCTTTTCTCCCAAATCTCTTTTTTCTTCCCTTCAATGTCTACTTCCCTCCTCCCCAATCCTTGCATTCCCCTTGTCTTTAATCCCTCTATCCGTCCGTCCCGCCCCTCCTCAATCAAACTCAAATCCCTCTAGTTATTCTTTTTTCTCCCTCTGTGTCTGAGTGACTTCAGTGCTGTCAAAGTAGATGAAACAAGAGGAATTCAGATTCATCACATTTAAAACATGCCATGATAATCATTCACTACCCTTCTTCCCTTGTGGTGGCAGGCCAATGTTAGTAGCCTTTTTTTAAAGTTTATTTGCATATTTGTTTCCCCTTTGTTTCTTTTGATGAATTATTTACCATGGAGAGAAACAACAGTGGAGATCAGTGATGATTGCTGTCACGGGCGGATCGGTGGCTTTCTGCTCTTTGTAATTGTTTTCATTTATTGCTGATTTTCAATCAAGTTTTTTCACTTATAAAAGAGACCCCAACCATAAAACCCCACAAAAAACACATATTTTAACATGGCTGATGGAACCTTTCCATCGTCAAGAGGGAATTCAGCTTCCTTTGTTGTCACAATGATTACAGTGTTGGTTAAATCTGAAAAAAAAAAACAATGAATAAAGAGCAAATGGAAAAAATACCAAAAACACAAATGTGCTTGGATAGCCACCTCCTGCGTGGACATGCAGGACAATTCAGAAAAACACATCCTTAACCATTAAAATAATACTTTATAAGACAATAAACCAATGGTGTTAATATTTAAGCAGAGGAGTTTTATGATGTTTTTAAGTCATATTTAAGTTAAAGTGAGCTTCCAGACCACACACAGCATTGAAAATAAAACATTGTCCTTTGAGTCACAATCACGGGAAGTTCTGTCCTCATAAACACCTTGATTGTTAGCCTAAAAAACTGTGCTCCCAGTGTGTTTTAAAGATCCAACACACACTTTAACACCCACCACACACACACACACACACACACACACACACACACACACACACACACACACACACACACACACACACACACACACACACACACACACACACACACACACACACACACACACACACACACTCTGCCATCCTGTCCCCATATTGCCCTATCCAAGAAAAACAATGCATAATTCATGTTCCGAAGTCTTGTCTGCAGACAAAAGTTGGCGTTTGCATTTATTATTTATTGAAAACAGTTTGCATGATGAATCCTTCTGCAAACAGACAAAGCACTGCACTTATTTTTGTACTTGTTTTGGCTCAGATTTTCTTGGGCTCATTAGCAGAAATGAGGATGTAAAAAAAGAAGACGAAGAAGAAGAAAGAATGAAAAAAAGAGCAGTGACATGAAGATGCAATAAGGTGTGAAGAATAATGGCGAAAATAGGGCCAAAAAAGAACATTTTTTATTTAAATGTTAGATTTGCAGAATAAAAGCTGAATATTTTATTTTATCCTCTAAGACCTAAACGAAAATGTTTACTCTTCAAAGACAATGAGTATTTGGACTGACTAAACCACATTGTCAAATCCACATATTTATTTTTTATTTATTTTAATCAGGAAAAAAATAATTATTTATTTTTTGTTGGTTGTTGCATTGCTGCTTGTGTAGTCCCACTACAGGAAAACACACATCCACACACACTTTCTGATGGCATGGTTACACTTGTTGTTTGGATGGTTTGCCTTGAGGTGGGGAGCAATTTATTGCTGAATGAAGGGAGCATTTACCTTCCTATGCTAATGCAGCAATCATTTATCCCAGAATCTTTATTGTTTTTTTTTTCATCTCCACAGATTAATTGCACATCATTCATTTATTGTATAAGATTATATATTTTTGAAAGATTTATGTAGTTGTCCCCAGGAAGGATGGAGGCACTCACCTACACTGAGAAACGTGTGCATTATTTTGGATAAATGAAAAATTCCAATCCTGGTATAGCTAAGGTTAAATAATTGATGGGTTATGATAAAAAAAAGAAATGAAATAATCATAACCTGACTGATGTCGGAGGAACATTGAACTCAGGGTTGGAGCTTGGCAGTCTGGGCTGAGTGGGGAAGGGGGATTTATGTATTTAGGATGGCTGCCCTGTGAAATAATAATGAATAGCAAAGACTCTGGAGATTAGGAGATTTTTGCTCAGCACTGTACCTGACACTTTGTGCGTGCCCACCCATGTTTTTTTTTACTGCATGACTACGGTAAATCTACCCTATCCTGATAGTACAAGATTTTCTGAAAATGGTTTAGTTTGGTGAGTGCTGGGAAGCATTCCAGCAGGACTGTAAAAAAAAAGTGTTGCAGAATAAAACACAAGTTTCACAAGGATGTTTATAACAAGTGAAATGTTGATGTCATGAATCAGACAGGGGATTACTGTGGCCAGAATTGTTTTTAATTGAAATTAAGTACTACAACTGCTGCAATTATCAGAGGTACACTCTAAAAAAACAGATGGTTGGATTTACTTAACCAAGTTATGTATGTCAACAATTATCAGTCAGCTAAGTTGAGTAAGTGTAATGCAACTTTCACAAAGAATGTGAAAATTAATTTAAACGTAGCAACACAGTTACTCAGCTCAGTTGAATAGAACTAATTGACTTAACTTAGTTAAGTAAATCCAACACAGCTGTTTTGTGAGTGTAAGAAATGAAGCGTTGAATTTACTTAACCGTAGTTCTACTAAACAGTGTTTAGTTAATTAATTGCATTACATTTACTCAACTAAGTTTAGTGGAACCAGTTTGGTAACTAAATCGGTAAGTAAATTCAACACTTTTTTAGAGTGCATAAACAACCCCTTTCATGGTGAGTTTGGTCATATTTCAATTTGTAACATGTAACTAGTTGTTCAATTTTAAAGTAAAGAAGTAAAAGTGTCATTTTTAGGTTTTGAATGTTACAAAATAAAGGTGAAAGTAATGGTTAAAAATACTTGGTTAAATTAACAATCTTCAAAAACATTGCTGCAGTACTGTAACAAAAGTAAAGTACTTAGTTAATATATACATTTGGCTGTTATAGCTAAGGGCCAAATATTTTAAAATAACCAACCTGAAATTAACAGCAATGTGAATAAAATATTGAGACATGGACAAGGACAGTTTTAAATTGGAGTTGTTTGATGACAGCATTATTTCATTTTGGTTTTGATCCTTTAAGACTAGCCCTTAGCTCATTAAATCTGTTGAAAGTTAAACTTTTTGATAACAAAAGTTGAGAAACCAAATATTTTTAACTTTTTTTCTTAAAAAATCCTTCTTTAAAAGAGCTGAAGTATTTGTTTAAGATCTTATTAACAAGTATTATATAAGAAAATTATATACATTTTGATCTGCATGTATAAAAGGATTAAATAATTACTTTTTCTAATTACTTTTAAACCTTTAGTAAAACTTAGTTTGAATTAAAAAAAACATTTAAATTAATATTGTTACAAGACTGAAATTAGTTGCATAATATACTATTGCTCTTTCTTATGCAATGTTACAAACAATATTTTCAAAGTTTACAATATTCAGTGCATCATTTTAGACCACTGTGTGGCCTCAAAATGTCAGGTAATTGTGGCATTTCAAGTGCAGTTGCTATTTTGTACTTTTTACTGCTAAACCCTCTACCCTGCATCTGTGCCTGACTACTTAAACAGGGTTCAACCAAGGGGGCATAATGTATTAATCACTGTTTCCTCTGTTACAGGAGCCTGCCACTGTGGTCCACTGGAAGAAGACCACCTCACAGGGATTTTCCTCTTCACCAGGTAACCACAAAGGATAAAAGAAGCACATTAACCACATGTACAGCAGCACAGCTCTCCAACACATGCACACTTTCTGTGCAACATAACACTGACCACCACCACGGCACACACACACACACACACACACACACACACACACACACACA